CAGCAAGGAGAATTGTGATAATAAAAACTTTAATAAACCTATACTTCTTTATTATAAGAGAAGTTATTTTGGAAAGTGTGTCATGCAATAGTTAGAGGACAGTACCCCATAAGGTTTGTGGGGTACACTTGGTCTCAGAACCCAGGCATGTTCCTGTAAGAACATAATAGGAGCAGGAGTAGACCATTTGACTCTTTACACCTGTTAAAAAGATCATGGTAATCTTCCACGCCTATCCACATGCACGGTCTATCCCAATATCCAGCCTGTCTCTTTGTGTCCAAAATCTATTGATCTCAGTCTTGAGCAGATTCAGTGACTGGACATCTAAAGACTCTTGGAGTGGAAGATTCAAAGATTCACAGCCTTCTGAGCAAAAGAATTTATTCTCATCTGTGGCACAAGTAGCCAATTCCTAATCCTGAGACTGAGACCATTAGATAGAAGTTCATAGAATCCCTATAGTGTGGAAACAGGCCTTTCGGCCCAACGAGTCCACACCGATCCTCAGAGCATCCCACCCAGACCCATCCCCCTAATCTCTACATCCCTAAACACTATTGGCAATTTAGCATGGCCAATCCACGTAGCCTGCACATCTTTGGACTGTGGGAGGAAACCAGAGCACCCGGAGGAAACCCACGCAGACACAGGGGGAAGGTGCAAACTCCACACAGTCGCCCCCAAGGGTCGACTCGAACCCAGGTGCCTGGCGCTGTGAGGCAACAGTGCTAACCACTGAGCCACCATGCTGCCCAAGTTCTAGATTTGCCAGCAAGGTATATAGCTTCTCAGTGTCTCCCCTTTCAAGCTGCCTCAAAACTTTACTTATTTCAATGTGTAACCCTTCCAAATGCCATGGAGTGTAGGCCCTTTCTATCCTCATGAAGCTATCTTCTCATCCCAGCGGAAAACATGGAAACTGCAGAGCATCCTTAGACACAGGGTTGAAAGAATTGCTGGTGTGTTTCTCCCAAATGATGCACACACATGCTAGATGAGGGAAGCAACGTTTGAGGTTTGAGAAGTAGTTTATCTTTTACTCCTTCTCAATCAGTTGATAAGTAGCCAGAAAGATCAAAGGGCTGGGGGTGGGGTGTTTGAAATCTAGAGAATTTACGTGGGAAGGATGGTTGTAATTAAGAAATTCTTAAATCGTTAGCTAAATCTTCGAAAAAATCCATTTCATGTGTCAAATTAATTTTCCTTAAAAGTCTGTGAAACATCAGTGTTGGAAAGTTTAGTAGTCGATAGTAAATGACAATGCAACTGAATCGATCTAGACTATTATCAAATCAAAGACACTGATAAATAAGGGAGGAATTTTATTAAGCCATTGTTTTCCGTTTTGAAATAAGGCTTGTTTTGAAGCAGAAATGCAGCGATTTATTCAGTTGATTTTAATTTTTCTTTAATAATGTAAAGAATTAAAAGTTTAATGATTTAATAATTTAAGCTTCAGCGAAGATTTTTGCTAAGCTATACCATTGTCTTTTTTTCTTTGCTTCTGAAATGGATGACTTTGATAGTCTTTTTGAATAAAACCTGTAGGTTATTTTGAAGGATTCTCTGTTGTTTTGTGCATTAGTTCCATTTCAATTTCGTAGAAATGTCATGATTATTGAGAGGAATTCTGAGCTGGTGAATGAAATACTTTTGATTTCAGGTGCCCAGTACCAACTTCAATTGATTTCTGCCAGTTTAGATATTGCAGGACAACCATGGGATAAAGCACCCATTATTGCTTCAACCATGAATCGTAGTCCCTAAGGCCTCACAGCTGTCCACTGTTCCAGGTGAATTGGCTAAATTTATACAGAACTCTGATAAAGTCTTTCAGTTTCTGTCTGAGGTGGACTTCCTTCCTGACCTCCCCACAACGGGCCTTGGATGAAAGGAGCTTTAATGTCACAAACTTGCATCATATTAGTTTGGGTTTTGTGCAAGCTATCAATGGGGGTCTTATGACATTTCAGGTAAGTGTCTTGCCTCTTAACCAGAAGCTCTGGGTCCAAATCCAGCTCCAGGACTTGATAAAAGGGGATGCATTAGAAATGTGACCAATTAGATTGAGTACCAACTTGTAAATCCTTCGAACACATGCCAATGTGGGTGATATGAGTGGGAGATATTCCTCACCATTCATGTGATGGAAAGAAATTGGAGTCTCTATCATCACCATCCATAGCTCCAGGCTACAACTGCTTGGAAACTATATGTTGCCACAGCAACGTGAGCAGCTTGGGTGACCTGTAACATAGTTCCAATACCTAGCTCAGGGCAAGAGATTGGGGAGAAATTTTGTTACGGAGGGGCTTTACAAGCAGTAGAGAGAGAGATTTTCAGTCCACACTGAATTTGCTCCCATGGTTGAAAGACCCAATATATTTAATGGACAACCCAATCTCCAGTATTATTTATTTTCATTAGAGTGGAATCCAGAGAGATTAGTTCATTAATATTTATCCATCCGCAACATTATGAAACTTGTAACCCAGCTTTCTCTATCCCTAAGTGCTGAATTGCTTCCCTAAACCTCTCTACCTGCCTTTCTTTTATGGATCTCCTTCTGAACTGTTCCTTGTGTAATTCAGCCTCAGATTTTGTTTGAAAGCAAGCCTGTAAAGTGTGCTGGGATATGAAAAGCAAGCTGGTTTTCATTGTAGGAATGCTTATTCAAGGCTGAGCGAGATTGGTGGTGCCAGTGTTTCCTTCGACCAATAGGAAATTGCAAAGAATTCAATTGAGTCCTCACATAACATCCACTTCCCTCTGTCCAGCCAGAATGGCTGGTTTAACAGCGATTCCTGGCCCCTGGGACCCCTGACATCGACAGTAACACTTTCTCCATTGTCCTGAAAAAAGTCAAACCCAGATTTATATTTTGTTCAGCATGAGACTAATGAAGTGACTGTCATGGTCCCACCCCCGTTTGCCAAAGTGCAGCACAAGCCATATTAACATTGACTTCTGGCACAAATAATAGAGGCTAGCTTGGTGAGTAGGTGTAGTGTGAGATCAGTGGGAGGCCACACATGAATAACCATACCCAACCACCACCACCACCATACATCCCCCCACAACTCCCACCTCTCCTCACCACTGCCATTAGATGAGAACAAATTAGGGTGGAGGTTCAGCAGAGAGAATCTGAACACAATTGTAGTTGAGGGAGGAGAGGAACAAGCTCAGTCTGTGGGAAGTCCAGTGTTTCCTTGTAGAATCTGGAGGAACTCTCCCATCCAGTGTTCCAGATGAAGCCCATGTTGGATACTGAATGTTTACCAGCCAGTAGAAGTAGCAACAGTGTCTAAATTGTAGCATCTGACTCCAACTTTAGAACCTCAGAAAAGCCCCTCACCCACTTGGGAGTGTAGGCCTCACACTCTATCTAAAATAGTCTGTCAAAATTACACATGGATGATAGAAATCTGGTGAGTTTCTAACAGCCCCAAGCTTAATGTCATGCATGAGGGTTAAAATTGGGATTAATATTGGGACTCTCTGATCAAGCATAGGGGCTTCCTTTAATTGTGGGGCTGAATTGGTGAATGATTGTTGGTGGCGACAGATTCCACTGTAGGATATAGGATTTGTACATGTTAAATTAGACTGAAACAACATTAATTCAGAGACTTTATAGACTAAAGCAATGCATCAGGAAACAGCGAATACTTGTTACTTCGGAAAGCCATGCCTAAGCTTGATTGCAAGAGGTCTGTCCTGATAAAAGAGATGGTTGATCGCTCCATTGCTGGTAAAACATTCATTACCACAAAAATGTGATGTAAAAAAGTGGGTGGCATGGTGGCACAATGGTTAACACTGCTGCCTCTTAGTGCCAGGAACCCGGGTTTGATTCCATCCTCAGGCAACTGTATGGAGTTTGCCCGCTCCCCCCCATGTCTGCATGGATTTCCTCCAGGTGCTCCAGTTTCTTCCCACTGACCAGGAATGTGCAGGGTACGTGGATTAGCCATGAGAAATGCAAGGTTAGGGTAGAGGGTGTGGGTCTGGATGGGATGCTCTTCGGAGGGTTGATGTGGACCTGATGGGCTGAACGGCCTGCTTCCACTCCATAGGAATTCTGTGATTCTATGTCAACAGCCACTGGTAACAGTGGGGTGCAACCGAAGTTAAAATATCTTTTCACATAAGACACTTGTTCATCCACAACTGCAATATTGTGCCAGGTTCTGGAGATTAAGAATGGTGTGAAGGCATGGGAGAAAGTACAGAAAAGATTCATGACATGCTGTGAGTGATGAGGAACTTTGATTGTGTAGATAGATTGTAGAAGTTGAGTCTGCTTTCCTTACAGAACGAAAAGTTGAGAGGAGATTAGGGAAAGATCTTCAAAGTCATCAAGGGTTTGGATAAATGGAAAGAAACTGTTGCTCCTTGTGAAAGGATTAGGAACAAGCGAGCACAGGTTTAAGTATATTCTTGACGAACAAGGGAGTCAGAGAATATCGGGGCAGATAGGAGAGTTGTATTGAGGCCTCAAACTGATCTTCTTGAATGGCAGAGCAGCTCAGGGGTCTGGGTGGTCTTCTGCTGCTAATGTGTATGTTTTTGAGTAATTAGCAAAAGAAGCAATGACAACATAAGGGAAAGCTTTTTCACACAGCGAGCAGTTAGGTACCGAAAGTGTAGGGAATGCAGGTACAGTCAAGGCATTGAATACAGAATTGGATTATTATCTGAAAAGGAAGCATGTTCAAAGCTACAGGGAGATGGTGTTGGTGCGGTCAACCAGGTAAGTTCGACTTTCAGGAGCTGGCACAGAGAAAGCAGGCCAAATGGCCTCCTAATGTGTTGTAACAATTTTGGGAGAATTAGTGTCAGAGAGTTCATAAACTTGCGGTAATTGAGTATTTTCAAAGGTAGATAAGGCCCATATTCAATATTCTAGTCTTTGTGATCAAAGTTCGCAAACTGTGCAGAGAATCCAGTGTTAGCCACCTCACTAACTGACTCCAGGTTACTTTATTCCATAGGTGCAGAGCTGGGCACTGAGGATTCCTACAATCAACTGTGTTTTTCTAGACTGATGGAACAGGTTTGAGCCACTGAGTGGCCGACTTATGTTCCTGTAAGTGTGACAGCAGAGCTCACTCAAAAACGTACTTTCTAGGTAGCATTATTAGATACTGGTCGGGAACAGGAATGCTGGCTGATTAACACATACTTCATAAAGTAATTCATTGGCTGTAAAAGTGCTTGGAGATGTCGGGAGGTCACAGAAGGTGCTACTTAAACGCAAAGTCACCTTTTATTATCAATAAACATGCATTTGTGTCATTGCACTGTCCTGTAACAATATTTCAATCCAGATTTTGTTCACCTGTGGTCAGGTGTTATCTGACATCCCATGCAAATTTTAGTGATGTTGCTAGGTTGCCGTGGAATTTGAAAGTCACAAGATTTATTGGCTGCCAGTCATTGTCAGCGCAGCCACTGTGTGAGACAAAGCAAAGCTGATGAACTAAACAATTTTCAGTCATGTTTGCACTCACAGTGTTTGGGTGGAGTGTGTGTGTGTGTGTGTGTGTGTGTGTGTGTGTTTTCAACTTGAACTTATATCACATCCCTGCAGCTGAGTGCACTGTTACTGAACCAGTGGCAACTGGGACAAGCGGAAACTCTCCCATTAACGTCATCAAGTGCAAGTGAATTCTCAGACGTGGAACAATTCATTGCGCTGATAAATGAGCCTGGTAATTGAATTAGAAAGCACACTGAGCCTTGCACTAATTATGTGGTGCAGACAGCTGCTTTGTCATTGCCATTTCATTATATCTCAGTAAAGTGCAATGTTATGGCATCGAAAAGAAATAGCAATCTTTTATCTCACTGGGAGAGGCTGATTTTTCAGAGAGAAAGAAGCTTGACCTGCGAGTGAGAAACCAGACTGCACCACCACATAACATCATGGCATCAGACCATTGACTCTTCCCTCCCCCATTCCCATCACCCACCAGTGCAGCAGACTTTCCTGTCGTTTTTTTTCCCTTCCAGAGTTTTTTTTTCTGATTCTCTTGAGTGAAAGCACCAAAGTCTGGTCTGGGGTAACTTTCCATCAGCACGGGCAGCCTCCTGTCCTCTCCTGAGCGAATCAGAGTTGGCAGACCAGTTAGCATGCCAACACAACGGAGCCCAAAAATGTATCCCGGACGTATGCATTTTGCAGCTGCAGTCACAGTGTCTCAGAAGTGTCGAACCTGATGGACCTCTGACCTCCCCCACCCCATCCCACCCTGCCCCAGCAGATTTTAACAACCTAGCAGCAACACAAACGAAAACAGCTCAAAGTGTTCACATTCAAACGGGGGGGAGGTCAACATTCTTCACAAGGTCGATGTCGGAAGCTGTTATCACTTGTTGGCTCCTTGCTCGGGTGAAACCGCAGCAGTAATTTGTGGAAAGTGAGTGGCAACTCCAAGCTGGCATTCAGTAATGACACGGGTGGCAGTCCGCTGGCTGATGTTAACTGAGTGCCTCTCGGGAATTGGTGCCAACTTGAGAACATCCCTTGTGGTGCAGAAGACGATGCAGCGCAGCGTTTCTCCTCAGAGCTCAGTGCTTGTTAAATTGAACTTAAAAGAGGAAGCAATGTGCACCACAAAGCATTTTTCCATCTTTTGTAATGAAGATGCAAAAAGTCAAGGCTTACGTCTAAGGCAACCGCTTCAGATGGCTGGGAGCACCGTGGAATACAAGGTCAACAAGGAAGCAGAAATTCAGTGGTGCGATGGCTGGGTTTTAGAGCAAGTTGGAAGATGGGAGAGTGCATGTGAGTAAATAATTCTACAATAAAATTAGAAAATGCTGAACATGTCTGATCTGCAGCAAGAGACGCAAAATTATTATTGCAGGTCAATCACCAGAGAATTTTTGTATTCCTTCACAAGATGTGAGTATCATAGAATCATAGAATCCCTACAGTGTGGAAACAGGCCCTTCGGCCCAACAAGTCCACACCGACCCTTGGAGCATCCCACCCAGACCCATCCCCCTATAATCCACACATCCCTGAACACTACGGGCAATTTATCATGGCCAATCCACCTAGCCTGCACATCTTTGGACTGTGGGAGGAAACCCACGCAGACACGTGGAGAATGTGCAAACTCCGCACAGACAGTCGCCCGAGGCTGGAATCGAACCTGGGTCCCTGGCGCTGTGAGGCAGCAGTGCTAACCACCGAGCCACCCCGCCACCCCGCCACCCCAATCATTGTAAAAGGTCATCATTTATTGCCTGTTCCCCAATTATCCTTCAGGAGGTGCTGGTGAGCCACCTTCTTGAACAACTGCAGTCCATGAGGTGAAGACAAACACAAGGTGGATTTTGTGAGGGCATTTGGGGACTTTTGTCTAGTGGCGGTGAAGGAACTGCCGATATATTTTTAAGTTATTTGATATGGGATTTGAAGTAGAACTTCAACTTATCATAGGCTGCTGCCCTGTCCATCTCGATAGTAAAGATCACAGGATTACAAAGTGTTGTCAATGAAGCCTTGACAAGTGATATCCAGAAACATTGGAGTCACTGGATACAGCAAAGGCTATGGGCCCTGAAAACATTCTGGCAATAGTACTGATGGCTCATTGCACCAGTGGCCAAGTACAGTATAACACTAGCACCTACCCGACAATGTGGAAAATTGCCCAAGTATGTCCTGTACACAAAGTGCAGGACAAATCCAACCCAGCCAATTACCGCCCCATTTGTCTACTCGTGATCAGCAGTAAAGTGATGGAAGGTGTCACCAATAGTGCGATCAAGCAGCACCTGCTCGGTGACGCCCACTTTGGGTTCTGCCAGGGCCACTCAGCTCCTGACCTCATTACAGCCTTGGTTCAAACATGGATAAAAGAGCTGAATTGCAGAGGTGAGGTGAGAGTGACAGTGACAGCCCTTGATATCAAGGCCAAATTTGACCAAGCACAGCATCAAGGAGCCCCAGCAAAACTGGAATCAATGGGTATCAGGGGCAAACTGTCCACTAGTTGGAGTCGTACTTGCACAGAGGACTTTGGTTGTGGTTGTTGGAGGTCAGTCATCTAGCTCCAGAATATCTTTGCAGGAGTTCCTCAGGGCAGTGTCCTAGGCCCAACTACCTTCAGCTGCTTCAACAATGACCATCCATCCATTATATGTTGAGGAGTGGGAATGTTTGCGAATGGTTGTGCAATGTTCAACACCATTTATGACTCCTCTGATACTGAAGCAGTCCATGTCCAAATGCAACAAAATCTTAACAATGCCCAAGCTTGCATTCGCAAGTGGCAAGTAACATCTGTGCCACACAAATGCCAGGCTATGACCATCTCCAATAAGAGACAATCTAACCACCACCACATGACCCTTGTTACCATCATTGAATCCCCCACTATCAACGTCCTGGGGATTACCATTGATCAGAAGCTCTACTGGACTCGCCACACAAACACGGTGGCTACAAGAACAGGTGAGAGGCTAGGAATACTGTGGTGAGTAACTCCCTTCCTGACTCCCCAAAGCCTGCCCACCATCTGCAAGGCACAAATCAGGAGTGTGATGGAATACTCCCCACTTGCCTGGATGGCTGCAGGTCCAACAACACTCAAGAAGCTTGACACCATCCAGCACAAAGCAGCCCGCTTGATTGGCACCACATCCACAAGCATCCACCCCCTCCATCACCGACGCTCAGTAGCAGCAGTGTGTACTATCTCTAAGATGCACTGCAGAAAATCACCAAAGATCCTCAGGCAGCACCTTCCAAAACCACGACCACTTCCATCTAGAAGCACAAGGGAAGCAGATACACGGGAACAACACCACCTCCAATTTCCCCTCCAAGTCACTCACCATCCTGTCTTGGAAATATGTTGCCATTCCTTCACTGTTGCTGGGTCAAAATCCTGGAATTCCCTCCTTAAGGAGATTGTGTGTCAACCTACAGGATGTGGACTGCAGTGGTTCAAGAAGGTAGTTCACTACCACCTTCTTCAGGGCAACCAGAGATGGGCAATAAGTGCTGGACCAGCCAGCGACGCCCACACCCCATAAATAAATGAATTTTTTAAAATACTGTACAGATTGCTGGCACTGTGTGTCTGTGGTGGAGGGAGTGAATGTTTAAGGAAGTGCACAGGATGCCAACAGCCAAGTTCCTTGTCCTGGAAGGTGTTGAGTTTCTCGAGTGCGCTTGAAGCTGCATCCATCGAGGCAAGCTACCAAGGTCCTAAGCTCTGGAATTGTCTCCCTTAAACTTCTTTACCTTTTCCTCCTTTATAAAGTGTAGTGATTGGAACCAGGTGGATCTTGTTGACTGCGAGATTCCTGATTGGGCTTGTTAACCTGGGCCGATCAGGAAGCCCTGGCTGACTAATAAAACAGGAGATTTAGAATCGCCTCAGTTCAGGGGACTGACTCCAAGCCGGCTGGTCACAGCCAGTGTACTGTGCACAAGTAAGTAAAGGGTGACTTAGTGACAGGATACCGGCCTCTGTGCAGTTATTTCATTAAGATGCCTTTTAAAACCTAACTTTTTGACCAGGCATCTCCTTATGTGGCTGGATGACGTTTTACTGTGTTAAAGGCACTATATGAATTTACGTTGTTGTTGCTCCAAGACTGACAAAATTCAGTTGATGGACTTGACCTGACTGTCCCACCGTACTAAAGTGCACACAGAATATCATTGCAGCTTACTCGGTTGAGTGATATACCCATAAATGCGAGAAGCATTACTCATCTGTATAGGACGAAGCAACTCATTTTTTCTGCACTGCATGACCCCGTGTCTACCTTGTGCAGAATAAATCATCTGCTGCAGCAGGGAAAGGTTCACCAAAAATGTGTAGTAAATAATAGATGATACGCTGAGAGTCTGACTCAAACTGTAAGTGACAGTCAGAACAAAATAGCAGAGAGCTGAACGTCATTGAAAACATCAGCAATAACGTATTCCTGCGTCATTTATTGTGGTAAATTGCAATGTCTTACAGCAGAAGGAATCACACAGATCAGATGTATAGAAAACACCAGATAAATTACTTTTCACATCAAGTCATCAAAGCAGGGAAACAGTAGTTTTTAACTGTAGGACCCTAAGCAAGAACTTATCCTTGAGGCAAAAACAGAAAGTGGTGGAGAAAATCAGGTCTGGCAGTGTCTGTGAAGAGAGAAATATAGTTAACGTTTCAAGTTTGATGTGACACTTGTTCAGAACTCATTAAGACTTTATTCTTGAGGGGCTTAGAGAAGTGTTCTACTATGGTAGAAGTGCTATACAAATGCAAGTTGTGTTT